GTACCACTTATTTCTATGGGCTTTGTGTGCGCTGCTGTGGAACGCCGGTGGAGCCGGTGAAAACTCGAGAAAACAACACAAACTCAACTTTGAAGTAATCCTGAACAACCAAATTCATATATGTTACACACGTAGGGCTAATCTTGTTACACTGTTCAGGGGACTCTCATCAACCATCACAAAGTACCGTTTTCTGCAAGTTTTTGGTCTTTGTTTTCACTGCGAGGGTTGCCAGGCGGTAGAAAATGCCCGGATGTCCGTCCCCGAGGATACTGTGAACAACTTCAATTCTGTCAGTGACAAATATTCACATATTTCTAGCAGAGATAATCTTGCTGGTGGACCTAAAACAGTGTCAGTTGCTTTCGTCAATTTTTCTCCATGAATGCCATGAAATGCTAAAATTGTGACCGCTCCGTCCGAATAAACTAAATTGTTTACAGTATTATGCACTTACAATGCTGACACTAAATACATAAATTCTTCCAACGTATCCTCTGCCAAGTGCCGCTCTATCAGAAAGAATACCACCCAAGAATGCTCCAAGTATTCCAAACACAGCTGGGATCCAGGACATGAAATGTTCATATGGATAGTCAGGATAATAATAGCGGAAATAATTTGCAGCATTGTAGTTGAAATTGTAGCCACCGCCACACCTCAGTGAAGATGTTATTAGTACTAGTACAAACAAGACACTCCAAAACGGTTGTTGTGGGCTTTCTTTAAGCTGCACATGTTGTTCAACTTGATAATTAGCAATCTGAAATGAAAAGAAATGATTATAAGGTAAAAGAAAAATTTTGCATATTACTATTCTTGAGAGAATTGGCTAACCTGAAATGAACACACAGCAACCAGTTATTTGAGAGTCCAAACAAAAAAAATACCAAAAACTGAATTTTGAAATACCTTAATTGTATGTGTATGCATTTTGACCAATTTTCAATACAAAATGACCACAAGATTAATGTTTAACATTTAGCTTTTTCAAAAATATAAATTTAAAAATATAAAAAAAAAATCTACATTGATTCGAAAAAACAAATTGATCTAAAACTTATTTTTTCTGTGCAGTTTTCTGTAAATATGACATTAAAACTGGAAAGGTTTGTATAACTTACTTGTCTGGGAGGTTCCTTTACTGTAACAATAGTAAGCAACGCTAAGATAAAACCAGGAAATGCACAAAGCCAATAAGCCCATCTCCAGCCCAGTACATCCACTATCAAATCCAAGACAAATGCTAATCCCAGACCGATATAAACACCCCATTGAAATACACCTAAACCCAATCCTCTTAGGCCCTGAAAAAAAATGATTTAATAGACAGTGAAATGAGGTAATAGAGAAAAGTTGCATTAAATGACAACTTCCAATTCTCACTGCAAATTTACTTCCTATAAACTGTACTATACCTTACCACTTTACTCACCCTAAGCTATATGTGTTAGCTCCAAAGACATCACACACAGCTGTTTATTAATTAATATTCTTGTTTCTAAATACTACATGTACTGCATTAATCTCAAAGTCCCTTATTGAACTACATGTATTTAAAAGTTTTCAAATCATTACATCAGTATATTTGAAGCAAAATTTGGCCAAAAAAATGTCTACTTTTTTGGCAGCAAATATGATTTATACTACATGTACATAATAAAAATAACATAGTAATGGTTGAAAATTATTGTTCCTGACATGTCAGAAATATGGCTCCAGAACAAGAATGCCAAAATGCTGGATTTGTTCATTTTCTGTTAAGTATTTAGTTCTTATTTTCAAATTTTATTTCAAGGAAGTTAGCCATGCTTATGTATATTGTTCTTGATGGCATAATTGTCATTGTCGAGTTTTGAGATGTGTGAAGCATGAATGTGATCTATTCAAGTCAGTCCAAGAAACAGGTACAGCTACAAGTCTATATGTTTTCAGATTTCAAACAGGACTAAATAACAGACACATGTTGATTTTGGAAAAGAATTAAATTTTACTGTTACAGAAAAAACTAAAAGAGAACAAAATACTTACTGATACACAGTAACTTGATACAACACTTGCAGCAAAACATGAAAATGGGGCCTCACTGAAAATAAACATGGTATTCCTGACAAGTGGTGACACATTTCTGGTATTATTTATATTTATTGGTATTTATTTAAATGTTATTACTTTGAAGTTCTATTTGCAAATTTAGTATGAAGTTTTGGAATTTTAAGTAATATGAGTACGTAATGAAATGCTACAGCTAAGGGATGTCCGCCTTGACAAGAGCTGAAAATCACCAAGCAGTTCCATAAACTCTGGAGTGATTGATGCCATCAATTAAACAAATCACACACAGGATTTTATATTTAGTGAACAGAAATCTAATATTACAAAACCAAAATTCCATGTGAAGCATCTTTAAATAAGAGTTGTTTCATTTTACCTTATGAAGTTATTTGATGACTACCGGTATTTTACTCAATGTAAGCACTGTGTCTGAAAGAACTTTGAACACTGAACATTACGCATTTTCAAAGTTAGATGTTTTTAGCTCACTCTCGAAGTAGTTTTCAATCAGTATAACTTACAAATGCCATAATAATTTAATACACATTTTCATTCT